AAAAAAAAAAAAAAGAGAGAGAGAAATAAGTAGGAGATAGTTTAAAGCACTGATCTGGACTGTGGGAGGTCAGGATCAGGACTCAGTCTTTGAAACCAGGGCATCAAGTCTCACAGCTCAGGAGACTATTCTCAGCATGTACCTGTTGGTACTTCTGACAGTCTCTCTGACTGTGATCAGAAATTGCACCCCAGAATTTAGAAAATGAAAATGCTTTTTAATACTTACAAAATCCTTCAATACAGGTATTGGACTATAAGAGGGAAGGAGAGACCCGTAAGTCTGTCACACAGATAGAACAGCAAGTGCAGAAGTATTTCTCATTCAGTCAAGAGACAGAAAAAAGGTATGACTGAATGCCACAAAAAAGAAATTACAATATCCCAATCGCAAAAGAAAAGAAACTACTTAGAACCCATCCTCTTGAAAAAAGGAAGGCCAAAACACAGGATAATGATTTTCCTTCAGGAGATAGTGATGAAATTCTATCCCCGCCTACCCTCCCATTAATTTCATCAAAAATCTTTGCTGGACAATTCTTTTTTCTATCCTACATGCAGCCATAAAGAATGCCAGCATGCAGTAGCCTGCTATGTGAAAGAAAGTCAAAGGTATTACCGCAGAATATCAAAATTGCCTTCTTTTATTCACCTTATATGCAGTTATTTGAATATTATAGGGAAAATGAGCAAGTTAGGGAACTCAAAGAATTTTCAAATTAGTAAAAGCATTCCTGGGAAAATGATGACAAGAGGAAGGGACTTTCAGTAAAAAAAAAAAAGGTAAGATCACAATTCTAATTGCACAAGCACGTGCTAAACTGCCACCTTGTCCTGCAGCATCTATAACAAACTCTGTTACCTCTACAACCCCTCTTGCAATCAGTGTACATATCCAACACTGTGGTCCATGTGTCAGCATCATCTAACTTCAGTTCTTCCTTCTCCCTGGTACAGCCAAAACTGACCACTCTAGCTTGGAAACTGCTGTTACAAACCTAATTAGACAAAGTATAATACAACTCTTTATTAGGCATTTTTAGAAGCAGGGGAACATTACATCCTCAACAATAAAAATAGTGTACTGTTGGGAGTTGTTACTCTTTAGCAAAGGATGTAACCTTAGTGCTGGGTTTCTAGAAAACTTTCCAAGGAGAGGAATGCTCTTCTTGTACTTACTTAGTCCTGCTTCATCTGGTTTAAATCCAATGCTAAGTAGTTTCCCCTTTCCTTTCAAATCAAACAGAATTTATAGTACAGTTAGAACTTGACATAATTTCAGCAATTTCATCAAAGATCAAGACAACAGCAGCTTCTCTGAGAGCATGCCGTAAGAAGGAGGTGTATTTTCTTGTGCAGAGAGTACATTTCCAGCACTGTTCCGACACTTAGTTTTGGAATTACCTATTATTCACCTTTGTTAACATTTAATCAAGTATGGTACTTTCTTTCTGTTTGTAATTCAGAGAGAATCCCACGCTTTTTAAACATCACTTTCCACCAAGATGCCAGATGAACATAAAAAAAAAAAAAGCAGCTATTTAAGACACCCTAGTCAGGTCCAGCACTTTCCTAAAAAGCTCAGTTTTTAGTTAACCTCCTCAACTTTTCAAACTCTTTCTGTTCTCTCTCATTAAAAAAATTAATATTAACAAGGCAGAAAATTATCCTCTCTGAACATGTAAAAATCAAGGTTGCCTGTTGAGGCTTTGTGGGTTTTTTGGAAAACATTAAAAGCACTGATTGTTTTATCTAAACGATAACAAAAATTCTTTCAGCATAGGCTGTATTAAAAAAGTTAAGATTTTGTGTGTCAATCTCTGACAAAGGACAACCAATCTTTGTGGTAACGCAATTTAAAAGAGAGAGGAAGAAGTAAATTACCAAGAATAATCTGAATGGCGATGATCAATTTAACAAAATTTCCAAATTTCCAGTATCTCATACCAAACTTTTTTGACAAATCAGAAAAAGAACAAGCCAAAACAAGAACGGCACAAAAAAAATTAGAAATATAGAAGACATAAAACCAATATTATATGAATTTTCACAAGAAAACAACTGATGTATAGTACAGATGCAAATGTACTATTTTAAGCCCACTGCACACTGATAACTTAATTACATACTTTTAATAGTTGTAAAATGAGTATTCAAAATACTGTAACATCTGAAAATGGCTGAAATATAGCTATGTGAAATTTCAGAGCTAACTGTAAGAGTCTCCAGCACCCAAAAAAGAGATAATTTTCCATGAAGAGCTAGGATTCTGTGTTTTAGCTGTGCTAGTGGTGTCAGTAGAATAATCTTAAGAAAATCACCAACCAACCCAAACATCATAAAACACACAGGGGAGAAAAACGCAAGCTCTTTACCAGGTAATAATCCAAGGCAGCGGAAAAGCAATGGTTTCTGAAAAATCTACTGCACTATCAAATGTACTATCATCTCTGCTCATAAAAAATTACTAAACCCACCATATTACTATTCTAGAAACCTCCTGATTCCTTATTACTGGAAAGAGACATTCAGGAATTCCCAGATTCTTATGGAGGAGCAGGTGGTAGACATTAGAAATACTTCACTGGGAACAATCTGAATAAAGCAAAGACTAACAATGCAAAGTAAGAGTACTGGCATCGAAATAAAGTTTTCCTTGGTTTCCTTTTCTTCTTCTCTTCCCTGGTAGTAAGGGAACTTCTTTGAGTATCCATTTTATACAGGCATTAAAGCATGTTCTATATATTGCTGCTTTTTGCAGGAAGAGGGAGTTACTGAAATCCTGGTTAAAAAAGACAAGTAAAAGATGAAGTGTCAAAAATCAATATTCACGTTGAGGCTCTATGGCATATTCCAGACACCCTCAGAGCTATGCAAAGCATTAATTGAACACAGTACAGCTCAGTTCATCCAATATTTTACCTGTATGCCCTCTTATCATCCCGCTCCTTCTCACATTTAGATATCTGCATTAATCCGTGACCTCCCAAGAAGATGTCACCCTGATGAGTCAAACTCCTTAACAACCACATAGAAACTGTCTTAGTGTGTTTTTAATATAATTCTGTGGACTTCCCTACAATGGTTAATTAGAAAGTGATTCTAACTAATTGCAGTGTGCAGAAGGTGCCATGCTGTTCCTTCTCTCTAGGGGGGTCTGCCACTCCCTATTTTGAATGTTCATTATCATCTTTTATATCCGCTTGATAAATTTATTAAAAATACCATCTGGTGGGGACTCTGCTCTGTGCTGTATTTTCAAGTCTTCTGGTTCTCTTCCTTTTTCCCTTTAGAATTTCTGCTTCAATTTAGGTCACTTGTTTACAAAAACATGCTGTCAAAACCAACAGTCTTGTTTCTATTTTTGTTTCTTTTTTTAATCCACCAGCTATACAGCTTGTACAGTAACCAATGTTGTAAGAGAAAACAAAAGAGGGGATTACAAATACGGAAATTCTTTTTTTCCACTGTTCATACAGCAGTTTTGCTCTGACAAATCTGATTTGCTTTCATGGACCAGAAAAGATGCGCATTAGTAAGGCATACACATTCTGTAAGCGAACAAAAGGAGAAGATGATTGAGGTTACAGGACAGCAGCATCAAAACATTTATTAAAACTTACTTTCTTGTCTCCTGGTCTTACACTGCACTATGGAACAATGAACAGCTTGGCAGTATATTTAATTCTATTAATAGTATTTTTATAAAAGATTATATAAAGATTTATAAAAGATGTTCAAGGCATGGCCTAAGGGCATAAATATTGCTATATTTAAAGATAAGACAGAGGTGTTATTCACCTGTCCTTCGAGATTCCCCAGGAGAAAAATGTACCAGGAGTGTGTGGTAGCCTCAGACATATTTATTTATCATTCCTTAAGCTTTTTTTTTCTTTTTGCAGGGGGAGGGGAGGGGGAAGGGGTGGGTTTTTTCCCTTTTTAGCATACTTGGTTTTGCATAGGAATTTTTTTCCCCCTGAAGTACTCAAAAAAAAATAATTTAATGCAACCGTTGTTAACTGGTTTCCATATCTGAGTGTAAAGTACTTCCTTTCACCTCTCAGTCTGGACAGGTCAGATTTTGTTCTCTGCCTATCCACTGTAACTTCACTGCAATCAATTGGCTAACGTTGGGGAAAAAAAATGACAGAAAATTCTCAACTAACTCTTTGCAAAACAGAAAGGAACAGAACGGAGCAGGTTCCTGCACCAGCTCACAAAAACAGCCATTAATGAACCTTAATTCAATTACTAAAATAAACATAGAGAGATCTACTAAGTAGTCTCAATTTTATAGGAAGGCAGTAATTTAAAGCATTATGGACTGTTGAACGTATTTGTACTGCACTCTAGGCAACAGCCAGTCAAAGGTTCTCAGCTGAAGTGTGTTCATTGCAACACAACTGTTCATTTTACTGAATTCTCTGAAGGCACTTACAAAACCATCACTTTGTGAAGAAACTGTAAACAAGGAATTATACTGGAAGAAATAATTTTTTGTTTTAGTTAATACAAAGAAGTGATTTTTCTCTCACGCTGACATCTGTTAAGTGCTCAGATTTTAATTGCTCCACTTTTAATGGT